AATGGAAAACATACAAGACTCCCACAACACAAACACAATGACTTTTAAAATGTTTTACTCTTAAAACTAAATGTGTGGGGTCAGTAACAGATCTTTGCTAGTCCTCTCTTTGCTACTTATTTGGGCACAGCATGTAGGTCTGTGATACCAGGTTCCAGCAGCATCTTCAAAAAAAAAACTTCTTGTTGTTTCTGCTCTTTCATGCAGGCCCTTGGATGCATCCTCTACCTGTTGTGTTTTAAACAACACCCATTTGAGGAGGGGGCCAAACTACAAATTGTCAATGGGAAATACTCCATCCCTCCAAATGATGTCAAGTACACTGTGTATCACAACCTCATACGTACGTACTTTGTGTTTGTCTTCTTGCCAATAAGTCACATTTATTGCCAGAAGCTGAATTTTCTTGTCAGCTTTACCTGCCGCATGAGGTTTAGAATGGCACCTCTAAACACAACGTTCATTTAGAAATGGTAGAGAAAATTTCTGAACTCAGTTAATTAAGTTCAGTAGCTTCATTGGGTGGACATCTGTCCATTTCTCGCAACTTCCTTTCTCTTAAGCTTTTAACATTCTTGTTAACATTTTCTCCTTTCTTCCAATGCACCCCTATCATCCTCCTGCTTTTCCAGGTTCCATGTTGAAGGTAAACCCAGAGGAGCGTCTGTCGATTACTGAGCTGGCCAACCAGCTCCAGGAGATAGCAGCGGCACGCAACGTCAACCCCAAATCTCCTATTACAGAGGTAGGGTGTGTGCACAGCTGCACTTCATGGCTTTTGTGAAAAAAGAATGGACTGCTATCAGTTTTGAGAAGTGATACTACAGTAAAACCTTTCCTGATCTTCTTCATTAGCAAGCGCTCACAGTATGCTGTCTGTAGTGTAAATAATGACCGTGTTGTTTTGTTTCAAGCAAAGTCTGAACTTCTAATTATGAAGTCATTTGCTTCCAGACTGAGGCTGAAGCCAACACACATTGGATTTTCAGAAAATTGCACCACTGGAACCAAATTTTGGCTCTGGCTGCTAAATTTGTAACTGTTCTGTCCAAGAGACGAGCAAAAAGGCCAAATACCTGGATAAAAAGAGCATACGTCCTACACTGAAGACTATTAGACTAGTAACTGATTAAAGACATTTTCCATTGTCAGTAGGAGTGTGTGGTGCTGAGTTTATCTGATATCTAAATGTATAAAGCACTTTGTGAATTTTCATGGCTAGCAGCTGAAACATTTCTGCTTTGGGTATCACTTTTGAATTGGTGACAGCTTTGACTAAATATATTTTGGAGTAAACAAGATGATTGGTTGAGACACAGAGGCACATCCTCAGTTTCTGGCAGCCTGTTAGGAGGGTATTGACACATCTTCTTCCACTGGCTGTGTGTAAACGTACGTGCACACTTGTACAAATTGATGATGTGGTTACACTTGCTAAGCCTTGCATACAACACACACACAAACACACACACACACACAGTGGCAGGCACAAAAGAGTCTGTATTCTATTTCCCAGGCTCATCTCTCCCCAGCTGGCATGGTCCTAATGGGCCCAAAGAGGCAGAGACACAGGTGGAAAATGGGTGAAATGAAATTCAAAACACATTTAGTGATACCAGCACTTCTCTAATAAAGCAGTATTTTAGGTGGAATAGTTACTGTAAAGAGAGAAAGCAGTTGTTTTTTTTAAAACCATCGCCCACAGTAACTAATTCAGATAAAATCAGGTTAGAGACTTTGGCCACGGCTTTGGGACAGGGAAGTCGCGATGATTCTCACCAGAAATCCTGGTACTTCTCGCCAAATCCTCAGCCACAGATGTGATTTATATAAAGCTGATTTCAGTGTCGTATCTCCAGGTTTACAGTGACTCTTCTTTTGTCTAACAGCATTCTGGTCTGTCAAATGTACCTGAACAGTGTATGTATCCTGAACTAAACTTCTGTTACAGCTAATAGTATGAGTACCATATTTTGCTTGGGAACATTAGTAAATTGAGTCTCATAGTTCCTTTATGTCCCAGCCAGTTCCTAACTAAGCGAATCCTGATAAGGATGGTAAGTGTGTGCATAGTGAAGGCAGATTTGGTGATTGCTGATCTGATTAGGGATAAGAAGGGTCTTTTTTTTTCTGCTCAACATAAGGAGATTACAGTCCTCCTACTTCTCCTCTCCAGCTACTTCTCTCTCTGCTGCTTCTCAGCACAGACGTATGGAGAGGCAGACTGTGAGATGGAGCAGAGAGGAGGAAACATGTGAAGGAAGATTTAAAAAAAAAAATGGAAGTGAAATAGTAAGAGGGAAATACGGTAGACATCCCAGAGAGGAAGAGAGAGACCCAGAGGCTGTTTGGCTGCCTTCGTGTCAGGAAATAATTTTATCCAGCACATCTGAGACAAGCTAGTTTTTAAAAATTTGCAGTGTGTTATGGTATATCTACTTTTTGAAACTCTTTTGAACTGGGGATTTTGCATTTAGGGATCGAGACAAGGGCTGTTGTTTAAAATTTGATATTTGACTCTTTCTTTTTGTCTATTTGTGGTTTTCTGGTCATCATTTTATTTATTTTTAATAAAGCCCTTTTAAAGGAAGGATGATTTTCATCTCGCTCTCTTCTAATCCTCTTGCTTTTGCTGCTGCTCGATCACGTCTGTTTTGAACATGCTAGACAAAATCTTAAGTCCTGGCTGCAAGTATTTTTGAGTGTTTTGTCAATTTAGTTTTTATTCTACTGCCCTACCTGTTACGATGTTGAGTGCGTACTACTGTTGGCGTTCGATGTATGATGGCTATGAATGTCTGCAGCTGCTGGAGCAGAACGGAGGTTTTGGCAACAGCGGAGCCCAGCCACCCATGCAGATCCACAACAGCCACAACAATGCAGGTAAGGGCTTGTTTGGATGACAGTTTGCAGGGTTGTAAGGTTTTTTTTAATAGTGCTTATTTGTTTCAAATGTTCAGACTTAAGGTTTGGAGGGCAAAACCTTTCTGAAAACTGAGCAGCAGTGTCATGTTCTTCAGTCGGTGTCCTGTTTTCTAAAGTGAAATTTAACAATTCATTGATTTGTTGAAGGCCAGCCTGTAACTCTGTAAGGGACATATCCATAAAATGTCATGCTGCACTTTAAAAAACTGACAAAATAAAAAAGCTGTCTTATAAATTGTGCCTTTGAGGTGCAAATGAGCAAGATTCTTAATTTCATTGAACTGAATTTATAACTAACCAAGTACGTATTCACACCCCAGAGACCATCCATATCACCGAAAGTCATGCATGTCAGTAAGTAGTCTGGTTAGTTCACCTATGACCACCCAACTGCTTCCACACACAAAATGCACAGATACAACAGCCCCTGTGTACACTGCATGTACTAAAACATCACCTCCTTTCAGCAAGGTTATGAGGGTCATGACCAACAGTCAGCAAGTCAGCTGCTTTTAACCACCCCCCCAGTCAGATCCTTATACATATGTATTAAACGTTACTATGTGAGAATTTCTGTGGTAATGATAAGGTGCTTCACTGTCTAAGCATAATGTTGTAATCCCTGTTACTTGTTACTGTGTGTGGTGTAATGTAGCTGTTGTGTGGCTAATGCAGCAAAACATCAAAAACCCGAATCCTCTTTGCTCAAGATCAAAAACAAACTGTAGAACAAATATACAGCCACAAATTAACATTTGGCGCAATGACTCTGTGATTTACAACAGTGTGCGAGCTTTAGAAATAGAAATTTCTGTTTTTTTAGGATGTTTGAATTTAGATTTTTATTAGCAGCATGAGCTAAAAGTACTTGGTGAGAAAATCATGTTTCTGTTTATTAGTACTGTTTCTCTAAATGAGCATTATAGGCTTACCATTTTTCCATCTGTACACACATAGAGGCTGTGCACTGTCCATTAAGAGGATTTCT